GAGGCTACCTTCACGCAGCGAGGCTACCAGCACGCAGCGAGGCTACCTGCACGCAGCGAGGCTAACTGCACGCAGCGAGGCTAACTGCACGCAGCGAGGCTACCTGCACGCAGCAAGGCTACCAACACGCAGCCAGGCTACCTGCACGCAGCGAGGCTAACTGCACGCAGCGAGGCTAAGGCTTTATTCTGCTTTCCTGCCTCCTTTTTCAAACTTTAGGATCAGCATAGATAAAGACAGCTAGGACTGATTTAAAGCACTTTTTAGAAAAGAAGAATAAATAATCTGGGATTCACATGGAAATAATAAAATATATTATACTTTTTCTAGATGTTTGTTAATTTGCATCGTTGCTCTTAAATAAACACATTCTCAGAAAAGAAATAGTTGTTATAGATTAAAAAATATAAAGCTGATTAACAGCTTCTCCATTATTAAACTGGTTCATTATTTTTTTAGGTTTGTGACGCCATATTGGAGCATGAAGATTTACCTTCACAGCCTCAGAAGGGCAAGATTTATGGACAAAAATTAAACCTGGACATGAAACTATGTTTCTGTTTTTATAAAGTGTTTTTATCATGTTTTCTCAGCCACTTTCATTCGGTAAAAAGATGGTCGAGTGCAGCTTAACAAAACCATCTGATCGTTTAGGTTCATTTATCAGCAGCGAGGAGAACATCTGATTTCTGCACATTTCTACAGACTCACAGCAATATGCTGTATTTTTACTACAAGTTCCAACTAAAACAAAAAAATCTTTAAAATAGCTTTTTTACTCTAACCAGAAACAGGCTTTTAACCTGTCTTCCTGCAGTTTATTGGGCGTCTGGGTGGGCTGGTGGGGGCTGTGTGGGGGTGTGAGGTAGGACCCTTCTCTATGCTGGGACTTATTTCCTAAAGCCGTCAGAATGAGCAACACTAGGAATGTCTCATTTGAACTGAACTGAACTCTACTAAACTGAATTGAATCTGTTTCAGTTAAATTGAATGATTGAACTGAACTGGTTTAATTGGAGCTCAAACTGATTCATTCTGATGCAGCTTCAGGACCTGTTGCTGCTCATCCAGCTGTTAATCTGAGCATCTATATCAAAACAACTGGATGCTTTTCCCCCCTATAGTGTTAGAAATCCTGTTTACACTTCACTGTAATCTATATTTATAGATAATCTGTTCAAACTACAGATTCAGGGATGAATCTGTGGTGAGTCTGATGAGTTTTCTAAATGCAGGCCACAGATTTCCGCGCCTGGACACCATCACTGAGGCTCTGCAGCTCTGCGGATGGATTCGCCTCTAGAAGAGCTTCGCTGAGCAGCAGCGTCTAATATCAAAGCAGGCCCAAAGGAGCTGTGTCCAACCTTAACGCCCTTCCTTTTCTGGAGGCAGGATGTTGATAAAAGCTTTGTTTGGCTCCTTCTATTGTTTCCCCAGTCTGTCCCAGTGCAGCCATCAAACGCAGGCCAGTAGGAGTCGTCCCCGCTGTCCGGGCAGACGGGCCACAGACCGGCTGGTGTGGAGGACACACGGCGTGGATGAGGGGTTAGGAAGTCCTGCAGGGGCTGATAAGTGACTGCTCTGCTGGACCCCCCCCTCTGGAGCTCATCTGGGTTTTTAAGGAAACTACTTTTGCCCCTGATGCTAACTGTTAGCTTTCACCAAACGCTCATGTTTAAGGTTTAAGATAAAGATTTTAACTGCGGCTAAACTAGCGTTAAAATCATAAAGATCAGAGTGTTTTCAAAGGTGGAGGATGTTAGTGTCCAACAGCATCGGGTTCAAACAGGGTTCAGCTCTCAGATGATGTCACAGTATGATGGAAGAGGCTCTGGAGGAGCTGCAAAGATCCACAGCTCAGGTAGGAGTCTGGATGGACCAGCATCAATCCACTATCAGAGAAACATTAAACCTGGACAGCAGGGGCGTCCAAAGTGGGGGCCGGGGGGGATCTGCAGCCCTTTGGGCAACATAAGGGGGCCTTTAATCACAATTTTAAGAAAAAGGAAAATTATTAGATAAAATATTAATAATAGGAAGCAACTTTTTATTCATTCAAAATGTTTTAGCTTTTAGTTTGATTTAACTTCAAACATGCCTTTACTAAACCGCTGTCTCTAAAAAAAACTAATTTATTAAAGTTGGAAAAATAAAGAAAACGAATCCAGGAAAAGTTTTATTGTTTTAAACATTTCAAACATGAACGACTTTTTTTATTTCCAATCTACAAGGATTTCCACATCTCTTTTCTTGAGAAATTAGAATACTTTGCTTGTTTCATTAAATATTGTGTAATTAGTTGACCATCGCACATGAAAAACAGGGAAAAGTTTTTTTTAATGCTAATAAAATAAAAATTAAAGTTAAACAGCATCAGAAACTGTTTATATTGTTTGCTTAAAGGGAATCCTTTAAATAAATTGTCTGAATTCTAAGTTAATAATAACAATAATGAGGAATCTAATATTATTATTGTTATAATGGAGCCCTGAGTGGTTTCATTAAAGTCCTAAATCTGTTTGATGCCAAAAACTTCTAATTCGCAGCTTTAAATTTGGGAAAATCCACTGTGATAATGTTCAGGTTTATTTATCTGTTGCTTAAATATTTAAACACGTCATAGAAAAAGTCCAAGTTGTTTTCCTGACTTGTTTTCGCGGCTGCCGTGTGCAGAAGAGCTTCACTATTTAAAGCAGCAGCTATCAGTGGGATGAGATAACGGCCATAAGCAAACATTCCCAGATGTTTTCTCACATCACATTAAAGCACGCTGCTGCTTTTTACACGCTGAGGAGAAAGCGCTGACAGCAGCTCTGCGTCCTCCATGTTTGGGAAAATAAAAGCCTCCTCTCTGGATTCAGCTCCAGCAGCAGGTGGATAATTAAAGAAAAGCAAGTCTTTGGCCTTTCAGGCGGGAAAGAACGGGGGAGGGATCCCTATTCAGCCCATTTCTAACAGTTCAAGGTGGCATGTTGACGTCTGTGAGGTTTAATTGAGTGATGAATGCGGTTTGATCACACATTCCCTGCTTTTATCAACACAAAAAACGGAACTAAATCAGATTTATTTATTTATTTTTTTGTTTTCTGCTATCTGTATATATAAGAAACCATTTTTTTCTCACATTAAAGCAATAATCCTTAATGTTTTTCAGGTTTTTAGGAGATAAATATTATATTCTGTCCTTTTTCCAAAGCAGCTCCCCAGTAAAGATTAAATCGGATCTCAGTCTAACTGCAGCCATCAGGTCTCAGAGGTTCGCTAGGAAGGATTAAAGAACAAACAGCATAATCAAGGTAAAGAAGGTGGTAACTCTGGAGGAGCTGCAGAGATGCTTCGCTTCAGCAAAGAAAAAAACAAACGTCATGTTTTCAGTTCTTCACAAACCATAAGAAGTTTAGATGAAAACTGAAATGTTTTGGTTTGGTTGAAAACAGACGTCTGAACTCAGCATCATCTGGAAGCTAAAAACACACTGGAAAAAATCGAAATCTACATCAGTCATTTTTTTAATTAAAATAAGTGTATTTGATCTTGGATTGAGGATGTAAAAGACAAATTTTGCAAATGGAACAAGACAATTTACATTTAAAATAAGAAAACACAATTGCACTGTCTTATTTCAAGTGTTTTTTTATCGAATTATCTTATTTTAAGGGTAAAATTACTCATTCCATTGGCAAACTATCTAATTTTCCTACTCAAATTAGGGGAAAAAACACCTAATTTAAGAAAATGTTACTTATTTGTAGATTGTTTTTCCAGTGCAGGAGAATCCTAGAAAAAAACCTGAGCTGCTGCAAAAGACGGAGACTCATCTTTGATCAGGAAGAACAGCCTGAAAATAACCACATGGACTAAATCAGACCGTCGCATTAGTTCAACGAAATCCAACAGATCAGTTCTGGAAATAGTTAAAGAAAACTAATGTTAACAAATACAGAGAAAAAAATATATTTCAGCTTCTTTCTGTGAGACTCTGGAAGAAACAAACTCCTAAAGAGGAGGTGCTTCAAACGAAAAAACTTTGGATTTTAATTTATAATTTACTAAATTACAGAAAGAGTTCAAGGGAAGTGAAAACTTCTGCAGAGCTTCATATAATCACTGCTCACTGTGGTGCGAGGACTTAAACTGGAGAAATAAACATAGAAAATCTGTTTTCATACAAAACAAAAGTTCAGGTACCCCTATTAATCTTAATTATTTTTATTTCTAAATATCTGGGTGTTTGCAGCAGCTGTTTCCCTTTCACATATCTAATAACTGATATTTCAGCATTGAATTGAGGTTTATTGGACTAAGAGAAAATGTGCATTACGCATTAAAACAAAATGTGACAAGTGCAACAATATGGGCACCTCAGCAGAAAGAGACAATAATATTTACTAGATCCTCCTTTTGCAAAAACAACAGCCTCTAGTCGCTTCCTGTAGCTTTTAATGAATCCTGGATGAAGGGATTTTTGATCATTCTGCTTCGCAAAACAATGTCCATCAGTTATTAGATATATCAAACTGAAATATCTGTTGCAAACACCCAAATATTTAGAAATAACAATAATTAAGATTAATAGGGGGCCCAAACTTGTTCATATGACTGTATCTGAGTGGCTAAAAATCAAAAAGGTTTTTAATTTATCCACTTTCGATAAAAAGAGGCAATAAACAACCTGTTGGATCAAACTGTCGACATCCCAAAAAGCCGTAAACATAGAAAATCCTTCAATCATCTGCAGGAAAGATACATTTAAAAAGGTTTAGTTTACTTTCACTCTGTTTTCTTTCATTTTAGCTGCTCTTCTTTTGTACGACTGCTAAAACCGAACTTTACTGCTGTGAAAACGTTGAAAAATGCGTCTAAATGAGAAAATTTCCCCGTAACCTGCAGGCTGCATGCGATGCAGAGCAGTTCTGGTTCTGCATTAACATCTCATCCTGGAGAACGATTCAAATGGAGCGTGAAAAGAAGCACATGGCTGCAGGTGGAAGGGTACTCACTGAGTGAAAGCAGCGGCCACGTGATCCTCAGAGTCCCTCTCATCCTGTTTCTGTGGGCTTCTTCTTCCAGATGGGCTTCTCCTTCATGCAGCACAGCTCCACAGTCAGTCCCTGAACGTTGCTTCTGGAGATGTTGCACTGATTACTGATGCTAATGTGCCGACACACTGTCACGCCTTCCTCCTGGAGTTTGGATCTCAGAGAAAATGATCTTGCTCAGCTTATTGTTACTTTTTTTTGGCTGGTGGACTGAAAGCGAAGAATGCTTTTGTTGCTCCCTGCACCTTCTTTGTCTCCTCTCTCTGTGCGGAATTGGGGATTTGGGGGAAGAGTATCCCTGTGGTCTCCTTGGCTGCCACTCACTCTCCCACAGAGGCTCCGTCCTGTATTGTGCTCTGGCAGTCCCCGCTCTCCTCCAAAGAGTTCAGCTGTTTGCAGAGTAGCAGCCCTGCCCTGCCTTCCTTATCATGAAAAAGCAGGGGCAGAGCCAGAGAAGTCCAATCCCACAGCCCCTGGACTTTCTGCTGCCGCGGCTGGGAAACTTTGAATAACAAAGGAAGCGACGAGACAATGTGTTCCCCTTAGTTTTGATTAATTTCTAAAATGGTCTGTTTCTCCAGGGCGTGGGGGTGAAGTCCCATCAGCACCGATGAGCTCCGATCTTTGGAAGAATCCGCTTTGATCCTCCAATTAACTTAATATCAGACAGTTTAACGGTTTAACGCAGAACTAACCCATTCAAAGATGACATGACAGCGGGTTAAAAGAGGCAAAAAAAGTTTAAACAAACCAGGTATGACCCCTAATATTTAAGTTTTAGAAAACTGTCTGGGCTTTGATTTGAAGGCACCAAATTCATTTATCTAGTGGAAGCTGATTGTAGTGGTGAGTAGAAACCAGAGAAAGGCGTTTGTGTGAAGATTCTCAGTCATCCAGGTCATAGTCAAGCAAGAAGTTTCAGTTTAGGAACACCCTGAGACAAACTCTGGTTCATCCCAAATATACGACACCCGGAAACAAGGTTGACAATGTTGTTTTTCGCTGTTCATTGTGGTGAAGAGTGCACAGACCTGCACATTGGAGAGACCAAGCAACCGCTACACGGGGTGCATGGCTCAACACAGGAGGGCCAACTCCTCAGGACAGGACTCAGCTGTTCACCTACACCTGAAGGCTAAGGGACACTCGTTTCACGACAACAACATCCAGATTCTGGCCAAGGAACACAGATGGTTTGAGAGAGGGGTTAAAGAAGCCATCTTTGTTGACCTGGACGAGTGGTCTTAGATATTACCCTTCACCTACTTCCAAAGCACTTTTAGGAACAATATCCAGAAGATTCACCTCCCACCGGCCCTCACCCTACTCACAGTTCAATGAGACGTGACCAAACAACTCTGACGAAAGAGTAAACGACCCAACAGAAAACCAAAACGACCATTAACACCCCCCACTCCACCCCACAGGTCACTTCCATGGCCAATCCAGTAGGAGGGATCAGTGCCACCTTCTGTTCCCCCTAATTCTTTGTTTTACCTACAGTATATTTGTTGGATTCAGAAAATGTAGATTTGCAAATAAATAGAAATTGAGTCTACACAGGAAAGAGATTCAAGCAGCTTCTGCAGGAGTGGAAGGAAAAGCCCAACCCAACTTCAAGCTTTCCTTCTCCGAATCCCCTCCTGCAGCCGTCTTTTATTAACAGAACATAACACATGGTTACAAAACGGTATTTGTTCTGACAGAACAATTGATCAGTTCATGAAGACAGAATGCTCCATCAGAATGACAAGGCAGGATGGTCTCTTGACTGGATCATGAGACAGGAGTGGAGCATCCCCTCGCACAAATGTTTCATAAGGACACATTAAGTTTATAATCATCATTGAATAAACCCAACAATATTATTCTCAGTGCTTCCCACCCTAGAACTGAAGAAGCTTCTTTGATGAGAGTAGAAACGTCTTCTAGAAAACCTCACATCCAGTTCTCTAAACTGAACCTTCAAGCCACAGAAGGCGCATGAATCCCACTGGTTAAAATTGTTGTGCGTTTCATTTGTCGTAGGAAGTCCAAATCTCCAACTCTCAGGTCATAGATCTCAAAGGACATGCCCCTGACTGTAGGTCTAAGACTAGCCAGTTGGAGGTGGCTTTGTGATGACTGGATTAAACCAACATGAAGAGCATTACAATAATCACTTCAGGAACTGTTAAAAGAAGATGAGCAATCCCAAAGTTACATCGGATCCAAACAAGGGCTTGGCCGTGTTTAGAAAGCATCAGATAATCAAGTCTGGGATATGAAACAGGTGTTTCCTAGCCTGACGTAGTCCTACTCA